CAAGCAGGGGGAGTGGGAGAGGTTCGAAGCAGGCTTCCCGCGGAGCAGGGAGCCCGATGCGGGACTCGATCCCAGGACCCTGGGATCATGGCCAGAGCCGAAGGCAGACGCTTAACGACTGAGCCACCCAGGTGCCCCTGACCAAACACCTTTAAGGAACTAAGACTGACTTTATGAAACCTGGAGCTATAAAGCCGCTTGGAAATGTTGGCCTGATACCTTGCTTTACAGAGTTACCAGCAGCCTCACCAGGTGAGTAAAGAATGTCACTTCCTGGCAGGTGCAGGAACCTCAGGATACTTTGGGGACCTCGTGAAGAGGAATTCGCTCAAATCTACAGGTATTGCAGGCATGTCTGATGGCAAGTACTTGGCTTGGCTTCTGGCCTGGAGAGGCTACTAAAAGTTCAACCTAGAGATTCCTCATAAAGGTTCCAGCAGAGCAGATTCTAAAAGATGTATACGATCATTATTCTTGCTGAGCTTATGTAAATAATTATGCCAGGTTTGTTAAAATTGGACTTGTTTTACAAACGAAAGAGTCTTGATTTGGCTATCTCTGGAAATGAGGGTTATTTAAAGAGAAAAATTATGTTTCAATAATGCACCTTTAGTTTTGATTGTCCTTAGATGTTGTTTGCTTAAGCTAGACAACTTGAAGTAAACTTCACAGAAATAGCTTTTCTGTTTCTACACAATAGCTCCTGTATAGATAATCTTATTGCATGTTATTCTGTGGGGATAATAACAGGACCCCATGGGCATATGATTATTTAGGATTAATTTCCCCAAAATTATATAACACAACTAGCACCTTGACCAGTTCTGTGTGGCTGAGATGACAAAATCCTTCCCTAAAAGCCAGAGCACACCCCACTCCATAGGGTTAACTATGGACCTGTGGAGATAATGGATGGCCCTACTTTCTTTATGACTGGATTGGATGATGTACTTGGATGCCCTTATCTCTTGATAAGTCTTCTCTCATTTGCCAGTAATTCCTTGTAATTAGGATATTAATGCCTTACCTAAAACAGATGGAATTATCCCTTAGTCATATTTATCCTAGAAGCCACCTCTATTGAGGTACAAATGCAAATAGAGGCTTTAGCCAAGCATATAACAGTCTTTTTGGTAGGAGCCTCAAAGCTTACTTTGGGACAATGACTGTAATGACCTCACATCAGGTCCAGAGTGTCTTAGAAACCAAAAGCCACCAAGAGATTATGGGAAACTGACTTATTAAACACTAGGCAATGCTTATAGATATGCCTGAAATATATTTAAAACCTGTCAAACTTTAAACCCAGCTACCCTTAGGCCTGGACCTGATCATCATACTTCTGTAGTATAGAACATAACCGTTAAGAGGTTATTGATCTTGTTTATTCTAGTCGACCAGATTTAAGATGCCCCTATTAAAAATGCAGGTGACAGTTGGTTTACCAATGGCAGTAGCTTCATGGAAAAGAGGGGTAAGAAAAACCGGGTATGCTATAGTCAGTCTTAACTCAGACTGCTGAGGCCAAAGCCCTGTCAGCAAATACACCTCCCCAAAGCAGAATTAATAGCGCCCACCTGTGCTTTACAATTGGCAGAAGTCTTAAAAATTAATATCTACAGTGACTCCAGATATGCCTTCCTAGTACCATATGCCATATGGAGCAACTTAAAGAAAAGGGAATTATTGTCAAGACATAACTCCCCAATCAAATATGGGCTTGAGATTATTACACAAATTTAAAGGATGGCTCTCCAAAACCGAATAGCCCTTGAAATCGAGTAGCCCTTGAAATCCCCACTGCACTCCAAAGAGGCCCAGTATTATATGACTGGCTCCTTGCTGGGACCCAATGGCTATGAGACTCTAACTTGTCCATAGCTTCCCCCAGGCTGGACAGGTCACTGTACTCTGGGTTTTGCCTGGAGGCACAGACACATTATTAAAACAATTACCAACCCAGCTAACCTTCCAAATTTAAAACAATGGTGGACATGTTTTGTATGACATTGGTATGACCACCTAGCATCCATCTTTGTTCCCTCTTTGAGACTGGAGATTGTTTGGCACATGAAAACTCTTAAGTACACGGTCAAAGCCCTAAATGACACTCAAAATAGCATTTCTCTATTAAATACTAAAGTAATACAAATGCGCAAAGTAGTTTTACAAAACTTGCGCTATCATAAAAACAATGTTGTGTATACATTCTAGATTACCACAAAAATATTTCTGGGTTTCTAACTGACATGAATACTCAAGTTGGCACTTTAAATGATCTCTTTCCTTTAGTGATTGCTTAAAACTCCTAAACTGGAGGAAAATTATCAAAGGTCAACTATCCAAGGTCTTTTATTCAGAACAATATTAACCTTATTTTGTCATTTCCGGTGTCTCCCTTCCTAGTGTGAAGACTTCACTGCCATAACTTCCAGCTAACAGATCCTTTCTACTCAAGAAGGTTCATCTATGTTGACCTCGTTGGATTCAGCTGCCTCCCCTTTCATAACTCCCCTATATGTTCCCCAACTGACCAATATTGACTCATATGTAGGGACATCTCTATGCCCTATTCAGCAGGAAGACGTTACAGAAGATGAGATCTTCCACCTTCAACAACCTTAAAGATTTAAGGGTCAAAATTGTTCAGGGGGTAAATGGTGAGGGAACAGAAGGCAAGCTGAAGACAAAGCACAAGCTGACACCCTGCAACCTCCCCCCACCCCCTATTCCTGGGTGGGACATGTGTGACATCCTTCCAGGAATCTCCCAACTATCTTAATGCTAATCCCTTGTTAGGGGAAAAACAATCTTAACTTGACAATGGCAAGGCCTCCAGTATCCTGTGAGTCTTCTTTAGCATACGAAAATCCTTTTGAAACTTCCCTTTTTCCTAACCTCCCCCAACCCCATAGTATATAAACAGCCACCCCTCACAACCCCAGGGGCAGCAGCTCTTTCTGCCCAAGGGTCCTGTCCCTGTGCTTTAATAAAAACCACCATTTTGGGGCGCCTGGGTGGCTCAGTCGTTCAGCGTCTGCCTTCGGCTCAGGGCATGATCCCAGGGTCCTGGGATCGAGCCCCGCATCGGGCTCCCTGCTTGGCGGGAGGCCTGATTCTCCCTCTCCCACTCCCCCTGCTTGTGTTCCCTCTCTCGCTGTGTCTCTCTCTCTCATATAAATAAATAAAATCTTTAAAAATAAATAAATAAATAAATAAATAAATAAATAAATAAATAAATAAATAAATAAAAATAAAACCACCATTTTGCACCAGAGAATTCTTTCTTGGCTGTTGATTCGAGACCTCCCTCCACCAAACTTCACCTATATTCCAAAACCACATCACCTCCTTTTGGGGCTTTGATCTTCCCCCAAAACCCTTGTCGACAGAAGTGAAGATAAACAAGCATACAATTACACTTATATATGGCTGGTAGGAGATACCATATATTGTTAAGCACATGGGCTTTTTGTATTTCCTATAATCTTCCTACATGAACATCTGGTTTTACTTATAATATGAAAAAAATTAGGTAATTTTAAGAGTTGACAGTTTACCCCCAAAATAAACCAAAAATAGCAAAAACAATGTGCTTAGCTTCAGAATGAAAATTAAAATTGTAATAGCTTATATCCCAGTAACTTGTTTTTTAAAACCCCGAGGGTAGCTAATTATATGATTTTTACACATTCTAGAAGGAATAATTGACAGCTCAATAACTGTGATGTATTACAGCTCAAGCCTCATCATTATGAATTTCCACACCTGGAAATCAATTCCAACATAAAACATACTCAGTCAACAGCAACTCTATTTTTTTCCTTTCTAAAAACAGCGAGAAATTTTTCAATTTTTTTTTTTTTAAAGATTTATCCATTTATTTGCGAGAGAGAGAGAGAGAGAGAGAGAGTGCAAAAGAGTGGGGGAGTGGCAGAGGGAGAGAATCTTTAAGCAGAATTCCTGTTGAGCACAGAGCCCAACTTGGGGCTTTGATCTTAAGATCCATGAGATCCTGACCTGAGCTGAAACCAAGAGTTTAGCTTAGCTGACTGAGCCACTCAGGAGCCCCTCTTTCCTATTTTTTAAAATATAAACTAACCATAATTATTTTTTAAAATATTTATTTGAGAGAGAGAGAGAGTGTGCGTGCGTGCGCACACGCGCGGGGGGAGGGGCAGAGGGAGAAGCAGACTCCCTGCTGAGCAGGGAGCTAGAAGTGGGGCTGGATCCCAGGTCCCTGGGATCACAACTCAAGCCAAAGGCAGATGCCCAACTGACTGAGCCACTGAGGCGCCCCTAAACATAATTATTTTAACATTCTACTTCTATCTCAATGATATCCTTTACCACTTCATTTTTAAAATGCATTTCAGGAATATCAACAGTATCAGTGACTATTACCAACTATATTTCTTACACCTTTTTCCCTCTAAAGAAATATAGTGAAAAAACAGTTTATAAAATATTAATATCTACGTGTGTGTATAGAGAGGGAGAATTTATTAATCATTCAACAAAGAAACAAAAGAGGAAAGAAGTTGGTTTCAGGTATTTTCAAACAAGAAGGACAAGGCCATGAGGACAGTTCGAGCTCTGCTATGGACAGGACCTCACAGTATATACAGCACACACTAAAATCTTTTTGTCTGTTCCTCCATAAGTTGCTTTTATTAAAAAAAAAAAAAAATTAGAAGACAACATTAAAAATTATCGTCCTCCACAGGAAAGATAAAAACTTGTCCTATAATGCAGACAGGCCTAATAAATGAGTCTTTGAAAAGCCTACACTAAATTTTGTAGTCAATTAAAAAAAAATCTATTTCAGAATAAGCCTAACATTTATATATTATGAAATATACATTTAATTAAACACTGAAGAACATACTACATATCTAGAATATTTAAAGGCTGTAAAAGTATTATTTAAAAATTAATCACTTTTGAGACAGATATGGCCTATATTTTCCTCCTTCTAAAATAAAAATATAACTTCATACCTCATAATCTGGCCCTCCAAAGTGGGATTTTTTCTTCAGTTCTGTCATGGCATTTTTGTACGCTTCCTCTATTCTTCTTCTCTTCTCAATTTCCTGTTTTGTTTTAAAAAGAAGCAAGTGAAAAATTATCACTTAGGGTGGAGATTTTCTCCGCATTTCACTGAAATTTTATAATTTGGCCAAACAACAGTAACAAAAACCTCACTCTATTCCTGTAAAAAATGAGCTTGATTCGGCCATAGAAAACAGTTTTTCTCTGAGCTATACATTACACACAAGATACCATTTAAATCACTACTAAGATCCATCTTATAGGTAGGTTATGGATTTATTTTTTTTATTTTTTTAAACATTTTATTTATTTATTTGACAAGAAAGACACACAGCGAGAGAGGGAACACAAGCAGGGGGAGTGAGAGAGGGAGAAGCAGCAGGCTTCCCTGCTGAGCAGGGAGCCCGATGTGGGACTAGATCCCAGCACCCTGGTATCATGACTAACCAACTGAGCCACCTGGAGCCCTAGGTTATGGATTTAGATGGATTAAGTAACCGCCAAAGCATCTATACTTAAAAAAAACAGAAACAAAGAAAAAAGATAAATTAACACCACAGAAATGCCTACAAGGTATTCATGTGTTTGCTTACCCCAGCCCACCCCCAGTAAAAGCTGTATCTATTTTGCTTTCAAGAAAAAAAGCAATGGATACCAGGAAGAAAATAACTCAATTAACAAGTGAAATCAATGAATGTTAAAATATATTCTAAGAAAGATAAATTTCTGGTACTTTCCCACTGCTGGTTAAAACTATTTCAGGGATGAAAAAGAGCTCAGATTTCTACTTTAACCCTCTCCTTCAATCTGTAGTTCTAAGAGGTTAAAAGACCCAAGGTCAATTTAGAAAGGTTGGCTCTGACACCAATCTCAAACTTATTTCTACAACAATGGATTGCACTGGTCAAATCTGATAACTGAAGTCTAACAAGCTTGTAAGGAACCTAATGCCTTTGTTCCCTTACCTCAAATACCTAAGGGCTAAATTAAAGTCCATATGAACTCACACAAAGCTAACTACTTCCAAATACCTATCTGAATTAAGGTTCATGCAAATCAGTGAATTAGTTCATTAGAACCAAAGCGTAATTTCTGCATACTCAAGAGAAAGCGGGTCTATAGACCCACCAGAATAGCTAAAATTACAAAACAAAACAAAGAAACACCCACAAAAACCTGACAGTACCAAGTGTTGCCAAGGATGAAGAACAAATGAATTCTCATCTATTGCTGGTAGAAGTATAAACTGATATAACCACTTTGGAAAATTGTTTGCCAATATGCACTGCAGCTAGCATAAACCCCATGAACCAACAATTCTACTGCTAGGTATGTACCTATATCCACCAAAAGCTAGGTACACGAATGCCCACTGCAGCTTTATTCACAATAGCCAAAATATAAAAAAACCTAAGTGTCTATCAACAGGAAAAACTGATAAACAAATTGAAGGCTTACAATGAAATATAATGAAAAAGAATAAACTACCAGTAAATGTAACAACACGAATGAGTCTCACAGTCAATGCTGAGGGGGAAAAAAGTCAAACACAAGTGTATATATGGTCACGTCTTGAGATGGTGGTATGGTATGGACCAGGGAGGCATGCGGGAAACTTCTAGGTGCTATAAAAATTCCTTATCTAATCTGAGTTGCGGTTATAGGGGTGTATACATAGCACAAAAATGAGCAAGCAGTACACTTGGTGCATCTCACTGTATTCATGCTATACCTTAATTTTCAAAACTGAACACAACAAAAACATACAGCACAGCTATAATATTCAAAGGATTTAAGGGAAAATGAAAAAAGCATGTGAAATTACACACACGAGAGCCTATTGATGTAAGCAAACATCTTCAACGAATAGATTTTCTCTTCCTAACATTGTTAATAACTAAAATTGTTTAATCTCACAATTTTTGGTCTTCTTGGACGTGACTAGCTAACAATTAAGTATACTTCTATAATAGAAGGGATTATTATTACAGGTAACCAAGTAAAATCATCACCACTAGATATTAATTTTCTATTATTCAGCTGAAAGAATAATGGAACTGACATTAGAAATCAAAGTATAAACAATTCTGCTATCAAACAGCTGTTATTATATCACCTATGACCTATTTAATTGCTCTCCTTAGATTAAGCTCCTTGAGGGACAATTTCCTGTTTATTGCTGTTTCCCCATTTCTAGCTTAGAGCTTAGCACAGCATAAGCATATAAATACTTTTTGAATGAAACAGAAATTTCAATTAAACAATATTAAATTATCACTACTTTCCTTCCCAAATATATAAATTACTTAAAAATCTGTTGATAAACAACACTCTCTATTCAAGAACTTTCTATTCCTTATAGAGTGTGTGTATACACACACACACATATACATGCATGTACACCATACATATACATAAAACATAGGTATACACACACACATACATACTGCATATCAAACATATCCACACTCTTACATTTCATATAAAATATAACTGGGATCCTATTTCAACTTAAAGAAAAAATTATAGTGAATAAGATTTGCCATCAGACCTGTAAAAGACTATAAAATGCAGTAGTTTCTCAATTTCAATTAATATTGCCATCTTTTGTGGCTTTTCTTTGCTTAGATGTTGCACTGAAAAGCAACAAAATTATTTTTTCACAGATCCTTTATTGCTCCTCAATGAAGAAAAAGAATACATAAGACTGACAACAGTGAAGTTAAGCAAAAGTTCACTTCCCTTTTCAGCACTGCAAGTAAGAAACTTGATTGCTGAAAGGATGGGAAAGCCAGGTTTCATTTTTAATGAATATTTTTTAGGTATTGTGATTAGAATATATGAATGAAGATGATGATCCCTTAGTGAAGGATAAAAAGACGAGAGACTGAAACCTTAAGAGAAAAGTGCGACAAAGTTTAAAATAAGCTAGTCTGGACAAGTTGAATGATTCTCTTGAGCTATGTCTAATGAGTTAAGGGGTTGTCCTGTTTTCTCAACACATTATTTTTGTGTGTACATGGAATCTTCTAAAAAATAAATTTGATTCACACTGTTAAAGAGTTGAAATCTCTGAAGATAAAATAGTTTGACTCCAGAATAATGAAATGTCTGTACCTTAAATATACATTTTCACTGCTTGTTTTTAAAGAATATGTATTACCAGTCAATATGGTTTACTGTCACCTACACTTGAGAATTCTTTTCTTCTACACAGGGGGACTTCCTTAAATACACAGTACTAATCAAACCCCTGGCCATCCTGCCATTAATCATCAGTGGTAACATTGCTTTACCTAGTTTCCTGTTCAAATTGATTAGATCTTGAAACACTAAAAGCAATTTGACTCATTCAAGAATGACAGGATTCTGACTAATGTCTGGCCTAGTATTCAGAGCTGTAATATAAAATAGAGTAAAATTCTTCCAACTGCTACTTAGCATCTCTGGACCAGTCTCTGGGCCTCTCAGTTCCTTCTATAAAATGCTGGCATTAGACCAGAACTAAATCTTCTAAGATATGTTATAGTTCTAACATTTTATTATTTTCCTGATGTTGAATTCTAAATAGAAGTTTTCCTACTAAACAAATTTACTGAGCCATAGTTGACATTAGGAACTAAAGATTCATATTGTAATGTTACTATCAGTGCTGAAGTTTAAACAAAGGTGGAAGCAGGTGAACATGAGGCAAATGTTCCATGAACAACATGTGTTAAATAATAGCACAATGACCCTGGAAAGTATATATGGCTACAAATGCAGTAAGTTAATGTTTAACTTGATAAATTGGTGTTTCAGTTCATATAACTTAAATGCAGCTTCACATATTTCACAATAAAGCTAGGTAATGTGAAGTGGCTCATCATTTCTATTCCAAGGCATTACCATTACTACTACAAAAATTTCTCTATTAAAATCCTACCACAAATTTGTGTTGTATAGTAACTGAATACATAACTGGTAAATCTCACTAGGAAAATGAGTTTAAGATGCCTACAAACTTTCAGAGGAGTAGTACCCCCGGCTACTTCTATCAATCCCAATAGGTTTTTCCCTAAGAAGTTAGTTTAAATGTTCAATCAATATATAAAGCTGAAATAAAATCATTTTTTAAGAGGAAGAAAAATGAGACTTACCTTATCCAGTCTCTTTTGCCAGCTGTCCTCACGTTTTACCATTAGTTCGATACAATGAGAAAGTGTAGCAAGGATTCCCGCAGTAGTTGCTTTAAAAGTTATTGCCTCCCCTTTAAAGTCTATGCCATTAATTCCTCTTGGTGTTACATGTGGAAATACTGGGGGGGGCGGGGGGGGGGAGGAGAAAGTTAATCACTGGAAGTCTTTCTAATGAAGAAATAACTCTTCATCACAACTTAAAACTAGAAAATGTTTAAAACCCAGCAAGTCAGAGCAGACTTTTGGATTATAATTTCCCTCTTGTTGGCCAACATATAAAAATTCCCATTCCATACTCCATAAGCAAAGAAGCTTGCAGCAGCATATGTACTTTCATATCTTTTTTTCTGGGTTCTGTTTCCTGAAATCTATTTGCTGTACTGCACCCAGTGAACAAAGTGGTAGGAGGAATAATACTTTAACAATAACACCCTGCCAGCTTAAAGCGGGACCAAATTACGGCAAGAACTACCTTACATTCTGAGAGACCTAAAATTTAAAAAATACCTGACAATAAACTATAGAACTGAATAAGGTCATGTAAAACTTTTAAATAAATATCCACAATTAAGTTTGAGACCAATGCACACATTAAATGGCTCTTATGTTTACATTTTATAATTTTAACTCAGAGTTCGCCTTTGAATTAATGAAAAATCTTACAACTCAACAAGATGCAAGCAAGACAGCATAATATCTTATACTCTTACCTAATAAGAAATCATTCCAATAGAACACTTATAAGTGAAATAATGATACTTTCAACTTTAAAAACTCATGTAGATATGACAGCAAAGGTATAATCCACAAAAGAAAAACCGATAAAGTAAACTTCATCAAAATTTAAAATTTCTGCTCTTAAAAGTATTGTGAAAAGAATGAAGGTTATGTAGAATGAGTAAGTCTACAGGTCTAATGTATGGCACTATCACTATAATTAATAATACTGTGCTGAATACTAGAAATTTGCTGAGACAGATTTTGGGTACGGTCATTACAAACAAAAATGGTAACTATGTGAGGAGATGATATGTTAAATAGCTTGACTGCAGGAATCATTTCACTGTGAATATCAAATCATGTTATATATCTTAAATACATATAGTTTCCACTTTAAAATACTTACAAAAAGAAAATGAAGAGACAAGCCACAGACTACAAGAAAATCTTTGCACAGCATATAGCTAATAAAGGATTTGTATCCTTTATCCATATGTTACATATAACATATATTAATATAGAATATTGACACATTCTATACTTCAATATAGAATATACATGGTCATCTCAAAACTTAATGATAAGAAAATATATAACCCAACTAAAAAATTGGGACAAAAGATTTGAACATTCTTCAACACAGAGATATGGATAGCAAATAAGCACATGAAAAGATGCTCAATACCATTAGTTACTAGGGAAAAAAAAAAAAAAACATAACAAGACACCACTACATACCTACTGTAAGACTAAAATTTGTTTTATGTTTTTAAAGATTTATTTATTTGAGAGAGAGAGAGCACGGGCACGTGAGCAGGGGAGGAGCAGAGGGAGAGGGAGAATCCCTGAGCAGACCCCCCTCTGAGCATGGAGTCCCACACAGGGCTCGATCCCAGGACCCTGACACCATCATCTGAGTGGAAACCAAGAGTTGGCCACTTAACCAACCTAGCCACCTAGGTATCCCAAGACTAAAATTTAAAAAGACTGACCATGCCAAGTGTTGGTGGGGATTTGGAGGAACCAGGACTATCCTGTATGGCTGGTAAAATGAACCTTGGTGGTTGTTTGTTTGTTTTTTTAAAGATTTTATTTATTTATTTGAGAGAGAATGAGAGAGAGCATGACAGGGGAGAGGGTCAGAGGGAGAAGCAGACTCCCTGCTGAGCTGGGAGCCTGATGCGGGACTTGATCCTGGGACTCCAGGATCATGACCTGAGCCTAAGGCAGCCACTTAAATAACTGAGCCACCCAGGTGCCCCTCTTGGTGGTTTTTTTAAAAAGTTAAATATACACCTACCATATGATTCAGCCATTCCACTACTGAGTATTGACCTCAAATAAAATATATGTCCATAAAAACACTGCACATGGATGCTCATAGCAGCATTATTTGTAATAGCCAAAAACTATAAAAATCCAAATGTCCATCAAGAGATGAATGGATAAGCAAACTGTGTTGTATCAACACAAGGGAATACTACTTAGCAATGAAAAGAAATCAAATACTAATACAAACAGTAACATGATGTATCTCTAAGAAAGAAACCAGGCCAAAACCCTCCCACATACTGCATGAGTCCATTTATATTAAACCTGAGAATATGCAAACTAACCTATAGCGACAAAAAAAGAGATCAGAATGGTTGTTTGGGAACAGGGAGAGGAGGGATGACAAAGAGATGGAGCAAACTTTTGAGGGTGATAGATATGATAATGATCTTGATTATAATATCTTCAGGATAATATAAAAACTGACCAAATCATGCACTTTAAATAATATGCAGTTTACTGTAGGTTAATTATATCTCAATAAAGCTGTTAAAAAATTTATTTTTTCTTATATTTTCTGAAAAGCCTTTCTATCATTGTAAATTCTATATTTTCTATCACTCTTACCAAGACCGCATTTTCATTATAAACTATTTTTATTAATGCAATGAAATCAAAGGTCATCTGTGTTCTGCATAAAAGAATGTATACAACTAAAATAATGTGTCCTCTTCTGCTGAATGCTAATTTATATACTTACTATATATAAACTTTATATAGAAGATGAAAGAGTGACATGAAATGTTTTTGAAAAAACTCTAGAAATACAGAAATGTACATCTTCAGCTGTACTTACTACTTTCAGAAGCAGCCACCTAAAATCCTTTTCAGAATGATACAGTGATTATGTCATAGACTAAGCTTTTAAACAGTTGATATTTTCAACACTTTATTTTAGTGTCTCACACACAGTAATGTCTCTGAAATAAATCTCTCATGTTACATCTGTTAGTAAATGAAAGTCATGATGACAAAACCTCACCTTAATCTGTTATCCACTGGGCTCCTCTAAGTACTGGTTACTTTGATTTTTCCTCCAAGTCTCTTATACCTTATACTGTAGAACTATATCAATCTTGATGGGAAAACTTAAGTAGAACTCTGAAGTACTTGGTAATTTTAGATGAGCATACTCATCTAAATATCTCAGCTAAAAACAAGGAAATGACTATTTTTTTTTTTTCTTTTTTAGAGAAGAGGAGAGAGAAAGGAAGGGGTGGGGGGAGGCGGAGAGGGAGACAGAGAATCTTAAGCAGGCTCCATGCCCAGCCCAGAGCCTGATGCAGGGCTTGATCTCACACCTTGAGATCATAACCTGAGCCGAAATCAGGAGTTGGACGCTTAACTGACTGAGCCACCCATGTGCCCTGCACCACCGCACCCCCCCGCCACTTTACTTTCTTTCTTTTCTCCTCTTCTTCCTTCCCTTTTTTTTTTTTTAGAGAGGGAAGGGGGGGGTACTCTTAAAAGAGACAAAGTGACATGCCATAGTTTCCTCTGGGAAAATGATACACTGGAATATAAGGAAATAAAAAATATGTGACAGTAACCATGTCAATGAAAGGCAAAAATGGTAGAAATCAGAAAATGACCTGTAAATCTAGATCTGTAAGTATTAGGCTCCAAAGATTACCATTCAGATTTATAGTTCTTTCAGTTGAACTCTTAACCTTATATACTTTAAAACTATTTTAAAGGTATGAACAGTCAGAAAATTAAGGAACCTATAAATTCACATCAACATGTCAAAAATAAAAACAAATGCTGAGAGAAGCTGAGCTATTTGAAATCCTTTCCTTTCATTAAGACTCTCAAACACTATTTTTGTTTTTGTTTTTAAAGATTTTATTTATTTATTCATGAGAGACAGAGAGAGAGAGAAGCAGAGGGAGAAGCAGGCTCCCAAGGAGCAGGGAGCCCGATGCGGGACTCGATCCCAGGACCCTGGGATCATGACCTGAGCCGAAGGCAGACGCTTAACCGTCTGAGCCACCCAGGCGCCCTCAAACACTATTTTTGAATAGTAGGCAACATAAGGGGGAATCCCTAGTTTCTGTAGTGAGTTTTTCTCATTTCCTTACATCAGAAAGATTGTATATGTGTCTGTATGTGTGTGTGTGTGGTACACAGACACACAGGAACAGAAAAATATTGGCAGGTAAGTCCTTCTGAACATACAAGATGGCAATCTGTTTAAATCTCTCACCTGTCTACTATGATAAAGAAGAAACATGGTTGAAGACTATGACACTGATATCAATCACACTAGGATCAACAATCAGTTAGTTCTGGACTAGTGGCCTATTGTAGATGTGCTTTCTCTAAGATACAGTTGGCTAAAAAACTGAATTTAAAATATTTTCACATGAAAAAAGTCTCCGAGCTAAATGGGGATGAAAGTGACTGGTGGTACAAATTTTCTGTTTGGACAGTTAATGCACAGGCACACAGATTAGGTTGAAAGAAAGAACAGGGTATTGCTCATGTTTCCTAGAGTAATGCATGTTTCATTAACACTTTTCCTCTTAGTGAGTTTCATCGAGAGTATACCTTGATTTGATAGATCAGTTAATATCTATAGTCATTCTTTTATATAGTTGATGACATGACAAAATGTTCTTGTATATTATTTACAAAATATGAAGAGATGTAAGTTAGGAAACTGGTCAGAAAATATAGCTAAATGGTAACAACTGGAAAATATAAAAGACACAAAAAATCCACATACGTGGCCATCTTCAACATTTAATACAATTTAATCATAAGAAATGAGGGTTTAGGTAGGGAATTTTTTATTTTATTTATTTATTTATTTTTATTTTTATTTTTTTTAAAGATTTTTATTTATTTATTTATTCATGACAGAGAGAGAGAGAGAGAGAGGCAGAGGGAGAAGCAGGCTCCCAAGGAGCAGGGAGCCTGATGCGGGACTCGATCCCAGGACCCTGAGATCATGACCTGAGCTGAAGGCAGACGCTCAACCATCTGAGCCACCCAGGCGCCCGGGAATTTTTTATTTTAGATTGCTTTAATCTAAACTAAAGGCCAAAAAATCTAAGTGTATTAA